CTTCAAAATCAGGTTAGTTCTCAGCTTTTTGCCCTGCAGGCTTAGATTTTGGTTTCCTGCATTTGCTAAGATGCCTCCTGTCCATCTGCTTTCTCATTTACAAAATGTTGTTCTTATCTCTTGTTTTGTCCACTCTGCCCTGATGAGTTTACCTTTCACTTTAAATCTCTCTGCTATAGTTTTTGTAGGGTTTCAGGAGGGAGCAAAATTAGACAAATAGGTTCAATCTTCCATGTTATCTAGGACGCTCTATTGTGTTTTTTCTATTCTATTATAGATATTTGTGCTAATTATGTAAAGCATGTAACTCAGGAATATGTAATAAAGATAATTATGGTACTTTCACAAGTAATCACCTTAGTCAGCTAAAGTGGTTTTATGTCAGATAAAACCACAAAGTAATGACCAGAGGTTATGAATTTTAAAAGGAAGAAAGGGTTGAAAAACAAGGGAGGGAAGAAAAAGAATTTTAATTTGTTGCGGATGATGTAAGTTCCAACAATTTTGTAGAATAAAAATGATTATCTAATACAAGAGCAGTCTTAAGAAGCTTATTATTGATTCATGTTATGGACAAAGAGGAAAAAGAGGAAACTCCAGGGAATAAAATTCTCCAAGTTTGGGCATTCTGCCTTTAGGGATATGCAGCATGATATAACAGTCATGACATGAAGAGACCCTTCTTCAATGGTGAACTGCCTGGACTTGTTTTTTTATCCCTATCTCCCATCCCACCCTCCCTCTTCTGAGTCTTTAAAGTCCATTATATCACTCTGTATGATATGCCTTTGTGAGCTCAAAGCTTAGCTCTCACTTATAAGTGACAGCATATGGTTTTTGCTTTTCCACTCCTGTGTTACTTCACTTAGAATAATGACCTCCAGCTCCATCCAAGTTGCTGAAAAATACATTATTTTGTTCCTTTTCATGGCTGAGTAGTATTCCATGGTGTATATACACCACATTTTCTTTATCCACTCATTTGTTGATGGGCACTTAGGTTGGTTTCACATCTTTACATTTGTGAATTATGCTGCTATAAACATGTGTGCAAGTGTCTTTCTCATATGACTTCTTTTCCTTTGGTAGATACCCAGCCATGGGAATCTCAGATTGAACGGTAGATCAACCTTTTGCTCTTTAAGGAATCTCCATACTGTTTTCCATAGAGGTTGCACTAATTTACATTCCCACCAGCAGTGTACAAGTGTTCCCCTTTCCCCACATCCATGCCATCTATTGTTTTCTGACTTTTTAATAATAGCCAATCTTTTTTTTTTTTTTTTTTTTTTTTTTTTTTTTGAGACAGAGCCTCACTCTGTCACCCAGGCTGGAGTGCAATGGTGGAATCTTGGCTCACTGCAACCTCTGCCTCCCAGGTTCAAGTGATTCTCCTGCCTTAGCCTCCCAAGTAGCTGGGATTTCAGGCATCTGCCACCACGCCTGGCTAATGTTTGTATTTTTAGGAGAGACAGGGTTTCCCCATGTTGGCCAGGCTAGTCTCGAACTCCTGACCTTAAGGGATCCACCCGCCTCAGCCTCCCAAAGTGCTGGGATTACAGACATGAGCCACCGCACCTGGCCTAATAATAGCCATTCTTACAGGAGTAAGGTGGTACCTCATTACGGTTTTAATTTGCATTTCCCTGATGATTAGTGACATTGAGCATTTTTTCATGTTTTTTGGCCATTTGTATATCTTATTTTGAGAAATGTCTATGTCCTTTGTCCACTTTTTGATGAGATTATTGGTTTTTTTCATGCTGATTTGAGTTTCTTGTAGGTTCTGGATATCAGTCAGACACATAGTTTGCAAATATTTTCTCCCATTCTGTGGGTTGTCTGTTTGTTCTGGTGATTATTTCTTTTGCTCTGCGGAAGAGTTTTAGTTTAATTAGGTCCCATTTATTTATTTTTGTGTTTGTTGCATTTGCTTTTGGGATCTTAGGCATGAATTCTTTGCTTAAGCCAATGTCTAGAAGTTTTTTTCAATGTTGTCTTCTAGAGTTTTTATAGTTTCAGCTCTTATTTTAGTCTTTGATCCATCTTGAGTTGATTTTTGCATAAGGCAAGAGATACAGATTCAGTTTCAATTCTTCTCTATGTGACTTGCCAGTTTTCCCAACACTAATTATTAAATAGGGTGTCCATTCCCCAGTGTATATTTTTGTATGCTTTGTGGAAGATCATGCTGGCATAACTTTGGTAACTACAGTCTTGTAGTAGAATTTGAAGTCCAGCAATGTGATGTGTCCAGATTTGTTCTTTTTGCTTAGGATTGCTTTGGCTATGTGGGCTCTTTTTTGGTTCCATATGAATTTTAGGGTTGTTTTTTCTAACTTCATGAAAACGTTGATATTTTGATGATAATTTCATTGAATATGTAGATTGCTTTGGGTAGTATGGTCATTTTCACAACACTGAATCTTTCAATCCATGAACATGGGATGCATTTTCATTTGTTTGTGTAATCTATGATTTCTTTCAGCAGTGTTTTATAGTTCTCCCTGTAGAGATACTTCACCTCTTTGGTTAGGTATATTCCTAAGTATTTTATTTTATTTTATTGCAGCTATTGTAAAAGGGATTTAGTTTTTATTTTGATTGTCAGCTTGGTTGTTGTTGGTGAATAGCAGTGCTGCTGATTTGTATACATCAATTTTGTAACCTGAGACTTTACTGAACTCATTTATCAAATCTAAGAGTCTTTTCTGAGGAGTCTTTAGGATTTTATAGTTATATAATCATATCATCTGCAAACAGTGGTAGTTTGACTTCCTCTCTTCCAATTTGGATGCCCTTTATTTCTTTCTCTTGCCTAATTGCTCTGGCTAGGACTTCCAGAACTATGTTGAATAGGAGGGGTGAAAGTGGGCATCCTTGTCTCATTACTGTTCTCAGGAGGAATGCTTTCAACTTTTTCCCGTTCAGTATGATGTTGGCTGTGGGTTTATCATATATGGCTCCTACTATTTTGAGGTAGGCCCCTTCTATGCTTAGGTTGTTGAGAGTTTTTATCTAAAGGGATATTGATTTTTTTTCAAATGCGTTTTCTGCATCTATTGAGGGGATCATATGGTTTTTTGTCTTTAATTCTGTTTATGTGATAAATCTCATTTATTGACTTGCATATATTAAACTATCCCTGCATCCCTGTGCTGAAACTCGATCATGATGAATTCTCTTTGATGTGCTGTTGGATTCAGTTAGCTAGTATTTTGTTGAGGATTTTTGCATCTATGTTCATCAGGAAAATTGGTCTGTAGTTTTCCGTTTTTGTTGTGTACTTTCCTGCCTTTGGTATCAGGGTGATATTAGCTTTATTGAATGATTTAAGGAGGGTTTCCTCTCTCTCAATCCTTTGGAATAGTTTCAGTAGGATTGGGACCAAATCTTCTTTGAAAGTCCAGTAGAATTCAGCTGTGATTCCATCTGGTCCTGGACTTTCTTTTGTTGGCAATTTTAAAATTACTAATTCAATCTCACTGCTTGTTGTTGGTCTGTTCGAAGTTTCTATTTCTTCCTGATTTAATCTAGGAGGGTTGTATTGCCCTAGGAATTTATCAGTTTCCTCTACGTTTTCTAGTTTGTGTGCATAAAGGTGTCATAGTAATCTCAAATGATCTTTTGCATTTCTATGGTGTTGGTTGTAATGTTTCCAGTTTCATTTCTAATTTAACTTAGTTGGATCTCCTTTCCTCTTTTCTTGGTTAATCTAGCTAGTGGTCTATCAATTTTGTTATTATTATTATTTTTTTCCAAAGAACCAGCAAGCAGTATTTTGCAACTGCATCTTCCCTTGCCCCAAAAGGATTGGTCTCCTCTAAAAATTCCCTAATCTACCTGTCAATCAAAGAAAGACCCCACAGTTCTCCTGGACAGGGTTTGTCCCATCAGAAGCAATAATTTAACTTTGGTTTGATTTTGCATCTTTCTTTTGGCTCTACTTTATCTTACATATAAGATAAACTATGAAAATACTTGGAATTAAAATATTTTTATGGCATGTTGGCTGACTGAGACAAATTAACTCTGACTCGTTTACATTTTAAACCAAATTATCTCTCCGATATTTGAGTAGGAGATACCATTTTCTCATACCACAGGGGCAAAGGTCACCAATTAAATGTGAAGACATGTCCTCGTGTCCTATATATTGTTCCACTAAGATGAGAACATGCACACCTGTGGTTGGGGCTAGGGGTCTTCATAAAGGGTTTCTGACTTGGCCATATACTGTTCATGGAACTCAATTTAGACCTGGTGTCCTGGCTTTACTTATCCAACCAACTTGATCTTGATCTTCAAATGTAGATTCCCTTGTTCATACTGCTGAGGCCTGAAGTCCCTGTGGGTAGATTTTGTTGCTGGCTCAGCCTATCCCTGACTCAATATTTGATAATTGAACCAGGTTTTTTGTTTGTTTGTTTGTTTTTGAGATGGAGTCTTGCTCTGTCGCCAGGCTGGAGTGCAGTGGTGTGATCTCAGCTCACTGCAACCTCCACCTCCTGGGTTCAAGAGATTCTCCTGCCTCAGCCTCCCAAGTAGCTGGGATTACAGGGACGTGCCACCATGTCCGGCTAATGTTTTGTATTTTTAGTAGAGACAGGGTTTCACCGTGTTAGCCAGGATGGTCTTGATCTCCTGACCTCGTGATCTGCCTGCCTCAGCCTCCCAAAGTGCCAGGATTACAGGTGCGAGCCACCGCACCCAGCCAAACCAGGTTTTATGGGCTCACTCCTATTCTCTCCATCATGACCTCTGCCTTTCCACTCTTACATTGGAGCCTACAAGTGAAATTGGAAACAAAAGGAAACCTTGAGATTACTCATATGGAAGTCAGGCTACTACTGTATTCCAATGTGCTTCATTTGTAGGAGCCACTCCTGTGGTTGGGGGTGCAGTATTATCCTATATTTGTCAGGATTTTTGACTGTAGACAGCCGAATCCATGTTATCTAGTTTAAGCAGAGAATAATTCATTAAACAGTAGTACGTACCTTGTAAGAATTTCTGGAAAGACCAGAGAACTGGGCTTTGGAATCCAAAATCCCCAGAGCAGCTGTCCCAGGATATCCAAGTGCCTTGTTTACTGCACTTTGCAAGATCTGATCTCTCTCTCTCTGTGGAGCTATCATTCACATTTAGCATCTCTGCCTCCTAGTCTCAAGCAATGTGTCTTCTTGGCAATAGCTAGGTTACATGCAGAAACTAGCTACAAGGGAGTCTTGAAGAATGTAGTTGTAGCATTCCAGCCTGCATAGTACAAGAAGGAAAATTTAAATGAAATTAGAAAAGGTGCTAAAATCTAAATGAAATTAGAAAGGTAATTTACAGTATCTGCCACACCCTAAAGGGAAGGGGAATCCCCATATTACATATCTGGGATGAAGGAGCTGCCACCCTTGGGCCTGGACTCTAAACTTTTAGACAAGAGGGTGTCCCTAGGTAATGGAGGTAGAACAGCGTCTGGCCCAAGGAGACAGGCTGCAGTTAGATAACGAGGCAGTGCAGCAGAAAATCCCATTACAATGGATTGGTACCTGGGGGCTCCTAGAATAGCCACACCTAGAAGTCACACATATGACTCTTTTTGGCAGTGGAGTGCAATTGTTAATAGCACAGACTCTGAAGTCAGACTGCTGGGTTTGAATCCTAGTTCCTCTCTTTACTAGTTATGTGACCTTGGGTTTTATATATGTGTGTATGACACACTTTTATGTATTACATTATAGTATAATGATATATAATGATATATAATGGTTACTATAGTGTATAATGATACATGTGTTAATTTAAGTGTCAGTTTGAGTGAGCCATGGTATCCATAGTAAACATTTTTTCAGGGTGGCTCTGTGAGGGTGTTGCAGATGACAGCAGCATTTGAATTGGTGAACTTAGTAAAGATGATTGCCATTCCCAGTGTGGGTGGGTGTCACCCCATCTGTTGAGGGCCTGAAGAAAATAAAAGGTGGAGTAAGGAGGAAGTTAACCCCTTTTTCCTACCTTGCTACTTGAGCTAGAACATCTCATCTCTTGCCCTCAGACTGGGACTTATGTCATTGTCTCCTTGTCTTCAGACTTGGACTTAATTACACCACCTGCTTTCCTGGGTTTCCAGCTTACAGATGGCAGATTATGGAAATTCTCAGTCTCCATAATCAGGTGAGCCAATTCCTCATAATCTCTCTCCCTCTCTCTTTCTCTACACACACACACACACAACACACATACACACACACACACACACCTCCCATTGGTTCTGTTTCTCTGGGGAATACTAATATGGTACTGTGTGTGTGTGTTTATGTGTGTGTGCATGTGTGTGTGCGTGTGTGTGTGTATTTTCTCCTTTCACTTACTCCCAAGTCTTTGGTAGGTCCAACTTCACCTGGAGCTGGGTTTATATCCATGCCAGGGTGGTGATGGTGATGAGAAGAAAGGGAGAAATAGCACTCCCCATATGAGATTCTCCTTCCTCTACTAACCTTGGAAGTTCAGGGTGTTCTTTTATTAGGCAGGCGAATAATAACATTCATTACAGAGAGAATTTCTCTGCATGAGGAACAATGCAAGAATGCAGAGGAATTGTAAAAGGTTTCCTTACGCAAATAAGCTCCTGTATATAATTACAGGTTAAAAGATTATGACAGGCTGTATCAGCTATCTATTACTATGTAACAAATCATCCCAAAACTTAGTGTCTTAAAACAGCAACAGTTTATCATTTCTCATACTTCTGTGAATTGGCCGGGCAATTTCTCTGCTGGTTTTGCCCATGCTTTCTCAAGTAGCTCCATGCAGATGGATGATTATTTGGCTGGAGGGCTCAGATGGCCTTACTTACATGTCTGGCAGTTGGTGCTGGCTGGGGTGCCTCGATTTTTCTCCATGTGGCTTTCCAGTCTCCTGTAGACTAGATTAGTTTCCTTACATGGCAGCTCTGAGCAGTGTTCCAAAAGGTGAAAGCAGTACTTTCAAGGCTACTTGATACCTAGGCTCAGGAACTCAAACAACCTCACTTCCATCACATTCTATTGATAAAAGCAAACAAAGTCAACCAAAATTCAAGGGGATGGAGAAATGGACGCCACCTCTAGATGGATGTGAAGCAAAGACATATTATAAAGAGGAGTGAATACTGGAATTGGGAGGTAAGGGAGGGGATTTGGGGTCATTAAACAATCTACCACATGGGTAAATTCAGAGCTAAAACAATTAAACATTCAGTGATTGCTATGGTCTGAATGTGTCCCCCAAAAATTCATGTATTGAAACTTAATCACCAATGTGATAATATTAAGAGGTGGGGCCCTTAAGATGTGATAAGTCATGAGGGCAACTGTCTCTTGAGTAGGATCAATGACCTTATAAAAGAGGTGCAGGGAGTACTGACCTTATCAAAGAAGTACAGGGAGTACTGACCTTATCAAAGAGGTGCAGGGAGTACAAGGGGAAGACGGAGTTAAGGTGTAGAGTTTTATAGCTTTTTCTGTTTGTTTTTTTTCCTTGTGATCAAATTTGTCATCTATTTAATATAACTTGTTATAAGATATTTTTTGTAAGCCTCATGGTAACCACAAAGTAAAAACCTATAATTGATGCCTGAAAATAAAAGGCAAGAAATGAAAACACACTACCAGGAAAATCACCTAACCACAAGAGAAGAAATGAGGAAAGGAGTTACAAATCAGCCAAAATACAAGTAACAAAATGGCAGTAGTAAATCCTCACCTATCAATAATAGCACTAAATGTAAATAAATAAATTTCTCCAATAAAAAGACGGAGTGGCTGAATGGATACAGAAACAAGACCTAATTATATGCTGCCTAAAAGAAACTTGCTTTGCCTATAAAGACACACATAGATTGAAAGTGAAGGGATGGAAAAAGATATTCCATGAAAATGGAAACCAAAAAAGAGCAGGAGTGGCTAAACTCATAGCAGATAAAGTAGACTTCAAGTCAAAAGCCATAAAAAGAGGCAAAGAAGGCCACTGTATAATGATATATGGGTCAATTCAGTAAGTGGGCTTAACAATTTTATACACACACACATACAATACTGGAATAGCCAAATACATAAGGCAAATATTAATGGATCTAAAGGAGAGATAGACTGTAATACAATAATAGTAGAGGACTTCAACATCTCACTTTTAGTAATGAACAGATCATCCAGACAGAAAATTAGCAAAGAAACATCAGAGTTAAACTACACTCTAGACCAAATGGACCTAAGTGATGTTTACAGAACATTTCATCCAAGTGCTGCAGAATATACAATCTTCTTATGAGCATGTGGAACATTCTCCAGGATAGATCATATGTTAGGCCACGAAACAAGTCTCAACAAATTCAAAAAACTTGAGATCACATCATGAATCTCTTTTGACCACAATGGGAAAAAACTGGAAATCAGTAACAAGACAAACTTTGGAAACTATAAAAACACATGGAAATTAAACAACGTGCTCCTGAACAATCAATGGGTCGATGAAGAAATTAAGAAGGAAATTTAAAAATGTCTTGAAACAAATGAAATGGAAACACAACATACCAAAACCTATAGGATATAGCAAAAGCAGCGCTAAAAGGGAATTTTTTGTTTTTTTTTTTAATCAATAAATGCCTAGTAGAAAGTAGAAAGGCTCAAATAAACAACCTAATAATGCATCTTAAAGAACTAGAAAAGCAAGAACAAACCAAACCCAGAAGTTGGTTTTTTGAAAAGATAAAATTGACATTTAATTAGACTAAAAAAAAAAAAAAAAAAGAAAAGAAAGAGAAGACCCAAATAACATCAGAAATTAAAAAGGAGAAATTACAACTGATATAAAGGAATACAAAGAATTCTACAGACTATTACGAACAACTATATGCCAACAAGTTGGAAAACTTAGAAGAAATGGATAAATTCCTGGACATCTATGACCTACCAAGACTGAATTGTGAAGGAATGGAAAACCTGAATAGACCAACAATGAGTGACAACAGAAGCAGTAATAAATAGTCTCCTATCAAAGAGAAGCCCAATACCTGATGGCTTCATGGCTGAATTCCACCAAATGTTTAAAGAATAGCTCATATCAATTCTACTTAAGCTATTCCAAAGAATTGAATAGCGGAGAATACTTTCAAACTCATTCTATAAGGCCAGTATTATCCTGATATCAAAACCAGACAAAGACATAACAGAAAAAGGAAACGAGGGCCAATATTCCTCATGAAGAGAGATGGAAAAATGATCGACCAGATACTAGCAAACCAAATTCAATAAGACATTTAAAAGATCATTCACCGTGATCAAGTGGGATTCATCCCAGGGATGCAAGAACGATTCCACGTATATAAATCAATAAATGTAATACAGTTACAGAATCAAGGACAAAACCATATGATCATTTCAATAGATGCAGAAAAAGCATTCAATACAATTCAACGTTACTTCATGATAAAAATTCTCAACAAACTGGGTATGGAAGGAACATACCTCAAAACAATGAAGGCCATTACGGAAAAACTCTCAGCTAACGGCATACTGAATGGGGAAAAAGCGAAAGCCTTTCCTAGGCAAGCATTCCTACTTTCACCACTTTTATTCAACATATTGCTATAAATCCTAGACAGAGCAATTATGCAAGAGAAATAAAGGGTATCCAAATTGGAAAAGAAAAATTCAAATTATCTTTGTTTGCAGATGGACATGATCTTATATTTGGAAAAATCTAAAGACTCCACCCAGTAAGTTTTAGAGCTGATAAAAAATATTCAGGCCAGGCACAGTGGCTCATGGCTGTAATCCCAGCACTTTGGGAGGCCAAGGCAGGGGGATCACTTGAGATCAGTAGTTCGAGACCAGCCTGGCCAAAGGAAACCCCATCTCTACTAAAAATACAAAAATTAGCTGGGCATGGTGGTGGGTGCCTGTAATCTCACCTTCTCTGGAGAATTGCTTGAACCTGGGAGGTAGAGGTTGTAGTGAGCCAAGGTCTCACCACTGCACTCCAGGCTGGGTGACAGGGTGAGACTCTGTCAATCCCAGCTTCTCTGGAAGCTGAGGCAGGAGAATCGCTTGAACCCAGGAGGTGGAGGTTGCAGTTAGCCAGTACTGTACCACTGCACTCCAATCTGGGTGGCAGAGTGAGACTCCGTCTCACAAAAACAACAACAAAAAAGAAATTCAGTAAAGTTTCAGGATACAAAATCAACATACAAAAATCAGTAGCATTTATGTATGCCAACAGTGTATGTAAGTCAAAAGAAAGCAATGAAGAAAGCAGCCCCATTTACAATAGCTACAAAAAAATACCTATGAATAAATTAAACCAAAGTGAAAGATATCTGTAAGGAAAACTATAAAATACTGATGAAAAAATTGAAAAGAACACAATAAAATGGAAAGATATTCCATGCTCATGGGTTGGAAGAATTAATATTGTTAAAATGTCTATGCTACCCAAAGCAATCTACACATTCAATGCAATCCATATCAAAATATCAATGACATTCTTCACAGAAATAGAAAAAAAATTCTAAAATTCACATAGAACCACAAAAGACCTCAAACAGCCAGAGCAACCATAAGCAAAGAGAACAAAGCTGGAGGCATCACACTACCTGACTTCAAAATATACCACCATAGTAATTGTGATGGTTAATATTAAGTGTCAACTTGATTGGATTGAAGGATGCAAAGTATTGTTCCTGGGTGTGTCTGATGGTTAATATTAAGTGTCAACTTGATTGGATTGAAGGATGCAAAGTATTGTTCCTGGGTGTGTCTGTGAGGATGCTGCCAAAGGAGATTAACATTTGAGTCAGTGTGGACTGGGAGAGGCAGACCCACCTTCAATCTGGGTGGGCACCATCTAATCAACAGCCAGCATGGCTAGAATAAAGCAGACTTGCTGAGTCTTCCAGGCTTCATCTTTCTCCTGTGCTGGATGCTTCCTGTCCCCAAATATCAGACTCTAACTTCTTCAGCTTTTAGACTCTTGGACTCATACCACTGGTTTGTCAGGGGCTCTCCGGCCTTTGGCCACAGACTGAAGGTTGCACTGTCAGTTTCCCTTCTTTTGAGGTTTTGGGACTTGGACTGGGCCACCACGGGCTTCCTTGCTCCTCAGCTTGTAGACAGTTTATCATGAGACTTTACTTTGTGATCGTGTGGTCAATTCTCCTTAATAAACTCCCTTTCATATATACTTATATCCTGTTAGTTCTGTCCCTCTAGAGAACCCTAATACAGTAATCAAACAGCATGGTTCTAGCATAAAAGCAGAAATATAGACCGTCAGAACAGAATAGAGAGCCCAGAAATAAATTTACACATTAACAACCAACTAATTTTTGACAAAGAACATATGTTAGGGAAAGAACAGGTTATTTAATAAATGGTGCTGGGAAATTGGAAAAACAAATGCAGAAGAATGACACTAGATCCTTATCTCTCATCTTCTACAAAAACCAAATCAAAATGGATTAAAGACTTAAATGTAAGACCCCAAACCATAAAACTATGGAAGAAAACATTGGATAAATGCTTTAAGACATTAACCTGGGCAAAGAAGTTTTGGATAAGACCTCAAAAAGCACAGGCAATGAAAGCAAAAATAGACAAATGGGATCACATCAAGCTAAAAAGCTTCTGTACATCAAAGGACACAACAAAGTGAAGAGATAATCTATAGAATTAGAGAAAATATTTGCAAACTATCCATATGACAAGGGATTAATAACCTGAATATTTAAGGAACCCAAACAACTGAATGGCAAAAAACAAACCCAAGTAATCTAATTTTAAAATGGGCAAAAGATCTGAACAGACATTTCTCAAAAGAAAATATACAAATGACCAACAAGCATATGAAAAAATGCTCAGCATCACTAGTCATCAGGGCGATGCAAATCAAAACCACAATGATATATAATCTCACCCCAGTTAAAATAGCCATTACCCAGAGGGAAAGAATAGATGCTGGTGAGGATGCAGAGAGAAGGGAATGCTCATACACTCCTGGTGGGAATGTAAACTAGTACGCCTCTATGGAAAATAGTATAGAGATTCCTCAAAAAAACTGAAAACAGAGCTACCATATGATCCAGCAATCCCACTGCTGGGTATACATCCAAAAGAAAGGAAATCAGTATATCAAATAGATATTTGCACTCCTGTATTTATTATAGCACTATTCATAATAGCCATGATGGAAAAACCTAAGTGTTCATCAATGGACAAATGGTTAAAAATGTATACATATACACAATGGAATATTATTCAGCCATAAAAAGAATGAAATTCTGTCATTTGCAGGAACATAGATGGAACTGGGGGACTTTTTTTTTTTTTTTTTTTTTTGGAGGACATTGTTAATTGAAATAACCTGGGCACAGAAAGACAAGTATCATCGCCATGTTCTGACTCATATGCACGAACTAAAAAAATTGATCTCATAATAGTTGTACAGATTTATAGGGTACATACATACAATGTGTAATGATCAAATTAGAGTAAATGGGATAGCCATCACCTGAAATATTTGTCATTTCTTTGTATTGGGAACATTCCAAATCTTCTCTTCTAGCTATTTTGAAATATACAATAAATTACTGTCAGCTAGTCACACTGTTCTCTTGGACATTAGGACTTACTCCTTCTATCTAACTGTATGTTCGTACTCATTAACCTACCCCTTTCCCTCTCCCCCTACCCACCTCCCACCCTTTCCAGCCTCTGGTAATCACCATTCTATGCTTTAATTCCATGAAATCAATTTTACACTGCTACTTTAGAATTCAGTTCAGAAAAATTGAAAAACTATTTCTGCAATAGTTTTAGTTGAAGGCAGGAATGTTTAGTACCCTCTTGGTGACAGAAGTAATAACTTCCTTCTTTTTTTTTAAACTGTGGCTTAAAAGTCATAACAAAATATCACCTTTATAAAGCTCTTTCCAGTCTCAAGGGTCTAGAATTCCAGGATTTCTGTGAAGCCTGAAGGGACAGTAGGGCTTTATTGGGTTCTGTTATTGAAAACTTTACAGTTTTTGAGTTTCTCTGGCATGTTTCCTCATTGAATGGAAAACGTAGAGGCTTTTCAGAATCATTCAAATGGATTTATGATGTGCCCTTGGTAGAAAGGGAGGTCGAAATCCTCCTCTGCTATTTAAAAACTTTCATTTGGGCTTATGCTTGAAAACAGGCTGACTTTGGCCCACCACTGCTGGGCAGTTCTCTGCAGGCAGCTGGAGGCAGCAGAGCCACCTGCGAAGAGAAGTGGAGAAGCCGCCTGGTACCCCTTCAGACTCCCAGGGAGGGAGGACTGCTGCCTAGTGACAGAACCAGCTCTGTGAAGTTATTTCACTCCCTGGACCTCAGCATTCTTATCTGTTAAGTGAGAGGCACTGGACTAAAGTTCTTCCTGTTCTGATATCCCTAGAAGGAGGGTGGATGGGGCATCACTGCCACATTCCTCCCTGGGCCTGGCTGGTGGCAGCAGCTGCCCTGTGCAAAGCAGCACAGAGGAGAGCCTCCACGGTTTACCAGGGGCAGGTGCTGCCTGAGAACAGGTGGGGGACATCGGTGAGTGAATCGCCAACTCTTCTCCACCAAGGCTAGGATTCTTTCCACTTCTCCCTGCTACATTTTCAAATTCAATTTGTAGTTCCTGCCCATGAAAACTACTGTTTGGTGTCTACAAGATTTGGAAATCTTTTCTTTGGAACAATTTTGTTGTTACAGGAGAGATGATACTTAAATTGTTTTCAGTTCTGTAAATTTTCTTACGTTTTTCAAAAGCCTGTTTTAATTTTCTTTTAATTTGTTAATTAAAAATATTTTTTAAGAGATAGGGCCTCAGTATTTTGTCTAGGCTGGTCTCAAACTCCTGGCCTCAAGCAATTCTCCCAACTCAGCCCCCACCGTCCCTGGGATTATAGGTGTGTGCCACCGCACCTGGCTCAAAAACACGTTTTAGGCTGGGTGTGGTGGCTCATGTCTGTAATCCCAGCACTTTGGAAAATCAAGGTGAGAGGATGACTTGAGGCCAGCAGTTCAAGACCAGCCTAGTCAACAGAGTAAGACCCCTCGCTCTACAATTTAAAAATAAAACAAAACAAAAAGCCAGGCATGGTGGCACTTGCCTGTAGTCCCAACTCACAATGGCTTGAGCCGTGATCACACCACAGCATTCCAGTTTGGGTGACAGAGTGAGACCCCATTTCTGAAAAAAATATACCCAAACCTTCAAACTCATAATTCATACATCATCATGAAAGACATCCCAGAGTATTATGTTAATTGAATTCAATTAAAAAATACAAAATTGGATGAACAGAATAACCAAAACACTGAAAGGAAAAACACCAAAACATTAACAGTATTTACCTTGGGGATTGGGACTTTGAAAAGTCTCTCCTTTTAGTTTCCTGAATTTTAACATTTTTATTTCTTAAAAAAAGTTACATATAGGAAAAATAAATGTGATCAAAAATATTTGTTATGATCATCCTATACCTTGAGCTACATCTTTAAGGAGCAATGAAGAATTTTGTTTTCACTCCTAAAATAACACATTAGCTTGTGTGTATAGATTGATGTGAAAAGAGTGGCTGGCAGTTCATCTTATATTTGACTGTAATTTTATGGCCATGGATTAGCCCTGTGATAGTGAATACAGGCTAGATTTACAATACCAGTGTCTTTTCTCTCCCGGGAAAGCATATTACACGGCCACTTTAGTGCCCGGGCAACCTCAACCTGAAAGCTCAGTAGCCTTTAGATCTACCCTCAAATATGAAAAAAACAAACAAGCAAGCAACAACAAAACACAGAACTAGAAGAGAAGGAATGTTTTGTTGCAATTTCAAATATGTACTTTATCAGCTTGCTTTCTTGAGCCATGCTCTTGACCAGAAATCCTAGGAGTGACTAGCTTATCAGTTGATGGAGGAAAGATATTCAAGGAGAAATCCACACAGACACTGTTAGCCAGTGGCCAGTGCCGAACACACAAAATGATAAGAATGTCAATGTTTAAAAGGGCTGGGACTTTTTGAAACAGAGAAGTATATGGACTTTATCAATGTGATGTTTTAACGAGGAGATAGAGGCCACCATTTTGCTTTGCCACACTTTTTCTTTTCTAGGGGCAGGGATATTTGTTTCAGAGGATACTAATTGTATCTCAAATTGCAGTCAAGAAAAATTATTTCCTAGAATACTGTTGCTATCGCAACTGGACTCAGAATTGGATATTTTTGTAAAACAATAATACTGGAAGTATTTTACTATCACATAAAAATACTAATAATTTGAATTTTCCCAAATTTCCAACTTGTAAAGAAAAATCATTCAGATAATTTCTTTTAACAAATGACATAGGAGTGTTTAAAGTGAAATTTCTCTTCTCTACAATAGTAGGGTTTTCTCAACACAATAAGTCATTACCAATATAAAAGAATCAATTTGTATTTTACCTTTTAAGTTAAACATAATATATAGCATGATTCAGTCCCAGAAACATGTTCTGAAGTAGATAAATCTGCTCATAGTAACTTCACAAATGTTCCTTTGACTTTCAATTTATTATTTCAACTGTCTCTGGTGAGGGCATTTCATATGCTTATAAATCTCTTCAGTTTCTTTTTGTGTTTTAGTGCTTCATGTTAATGGACTCCGTAACTGTTACATAAAACACATCTATCAGCAAAGGTTTAGGAACAAACATTTATATCAAGACTGTTTAAAAGTTGGCAGCCTTGGTGAATAGTAAATAACAGTGAATAGGACAGAACATAAATACACAGATCAATTTAATAACAGATTGTCTCCAAAGGATTAGAAACAGGGTTGTCTGAACTGTCACGGAAGACACATCTAGCACTCAGATCAATGCAGCATGAAGTAGGAATCATCAGGGTTTTACAGCATGAGATTTTTGTTCTTTTGCATTAATAAATTTACCTTAATTTTTGGAATATAATCAATCTCCTATTTCACCAGTTGCAAGAGCCATATTTACTTGTTCTCTAATTCTTGTCACTTCCTAATTATCATGCTCCATTGCAACTGTGCTTCCATGTTCTCTAAATTAACCATTTTTGACCAGTGATGTTAGATATTTGCAAAATCTCCATCACACCTGAACTTCACAGATGCAGACACATTGAGGTTTTCGATGAACTTCAATTCCTCAGTTTTCTCAGTCTCTAACAATACCTCCCTCTCAGGACTATAAAGGATATTGTATACAAGATGCCTTGCTTAGTATTTCCCTTCTGCAATCTTTCTCTGTGGGCTGCATTCCTTAACATGGTTTTAAACCCTTCTCATGTACACATCCTACCTTTGAAATTCCTTCAGGGCATCTTCGTTTTCGTACCCCAGTGCCCAGCCTGGGTAAGTATCAGTGCTGCTGCCTCTCTTCTGGCTGATGGCTGAAGGAGCTCAGGGAGGGTGAGAACAGGGTGTCTTAATGATACCTGTCATTAAGAGTGCTGGTTGGTTTTGTCCAGGTTGGCAAATAAAAGCAAGATTCGTTTTTAATCCCTTGAAGATTTTGTCACTGCAAGTTTGGCAGGGGCAGGTCCTAAAGGAGCAGAACATTTGCCTAAGTGATTAGCTCCAGAAAAAGATGCTAGGCACATTAAAGAGAAGAACAGTATGAGAGCCCCAGTAACTTCAGCCCTGATCTCAGGTTCTAGCTAGGAGACCCTATTGCCTCCTGGGTGATCCCAGGTGACTGTACACTTCCCTCATTCTAACATTTAAGGAAATTTCCCAAGCAAAACTCATCATTCAAATAGCTAGTAATTAACAAGGGTTTAGGCATTTACTTGCTAAAAGTGAATGTAATTTAACAAAGGCATTTGTGCCAGTTCCATCTTAGTTTGAGAGGAAGGTAATATTTGACTTAACTAAGATATTATTTACATAAATGAGGGAAGAAATTAATATAGTGGACAAAAAATAAATAAAGGGTTTTATAAAAGACATTGACATGCAGCTTCGAGAGCCACATTTATTTTACAAGTATCAGAAATCTAAAACTTGCTTCTAATAAGCTAGGGGAAAAACACTAAATGTGACAAAACTGTACCCTTTGGTACTCATAAATGATTAATAAATGAAACATGAACAGTCTGTGATGAATCAAAACTACAACAAAAGAAGCAATCTACAAAAATGTTATACTGTCATTGTTTATTTTAGTATTACAAAAGATAACGGCCAGCAGATTAGCTAATCTTCTTAAAATTCATCCATATACTGTTTGGATTTCATGTCATAGTCTCACATTTTATTTATAATTTTAATTGTACAATTTTACAGTATATTACTTCAAATGTCTTCTGCATATAAAACACAGTATACAGAAATATGCATAAATGAAAGTAATTGGGCTGGGCATGGTGGCTCACGCCTGTAATCCCAGCACTTCGGGAGGCTGAAGCAGGTGAATCACCTGAGGTCAGCCATTCAAGACCAGCGTGGCCAACATGGCGAAACCCCATCTCTACTAAAAATACAAAAATTAGCCCAGTGTGGTGGGAGGTACCTGTAATTGCAGCTACTTGGGAGGCTGAGGCAGGAGAATCACTTGAACCTGGGAGGCGGAAATTGAAGTGAGCCGAGATCTGCCACTGCACTCCAGGCATGGGGTGACAGAGTGAGACTCCATCTCCGAAAAAAAGAAAGAAAGTAATTGTACGAGGGTAGTGAGATTGATTATAATTGACTTTTCAAGAACTAATGACTGGGAATTTTCCAAACTTGGTAAAGAGTCAGAAATCCTGAGTCCCAAGTAGGATAAGTAAAAAGAAATCTACATATAAGCAAATTCTAATAAAAATTCTAATAAAACTGCTTTAAAATCAAAATATAGAAAGATAAATGTTAAAATCATTCAGATTTTAAAAAACAAATCACTTTCAAAAGATTTTAAAAAACAAATCACTAGCAACAATTAGACTAATAGTGGATTTTCCAACAGAAATAATGGAAGCTAAAAGTCAAAGGAAGTAACATATTGATACTACTGAAATAAAATAATTTTATACTGGGCAAAAATATCCTTCAGGAACAAAGTCAAGTAAAGACATTTTCAGGCAAATAAAAATAAAATAATTTGTCGCCAGCAGACTAGCAGTTAAGGAAATACCAAATGTACTTCTTCAGGCAGAAAGAAAATGACCACATAAATAAATCTGAAATGCAAGTAGTAATGAAGAGCAATGAAAATGTAAATATGTGGATAAATCTAAGTGTATATAACTATATTAAACAATAATAATTGTGTGTCATTGGGGTAAAATAAAATACATGACAACAAAGGCATGAAATTCTTGAGAAGGGAAAAGGAGGTAAGTGTCCTGAGCTTTTTACATTACTCAGAAAGAGGGTAAAGGTAACAAGTAGCAGTAGGCTTTAAGGAATCAAGAATATATACTGTAATCTCTAGTATAACTACTGAAAGAATAATAAAAGAATGTATAACGGACCAATCCAGTGGAGGGAGAACACAGGATATTAAAATCTGTCCCATTGAGTTAGAATAATGCAAAAAAGGAGAGAAAGGGGAACATAATATAGGGTACTAATAGCAAGAAAATATTATTCAGACTTTAGATTTAAACCCAAACATGTCAACAGGCTACATATTCAAGATAAAGTTTATGAAACTCCATTTAAAAACCGATTTATGCTATTTACAAAAGATATATTAAAACATAAGAACAGAAAGAGTGGAAATAGAATCTTTTTTTTGAGACAGAGTCTCGCTCTGTAGCCCAGGCTGGAGTGCAGTGGCCGGATCTCAGCTCACTGCAAGCTCCGCCTCCCGAGTTTACACCATTCTCCTGCCTCAGCCTCCTGAGTAGCTGGGACTACAGGTGCCTGCCACCTCGCCCAGCTAGTTTTTTGTATTTTTTAGTTGAGACGGGGTTTCACCATGTTAGCCAGGATGGTCTCGATCTCCTGACCTCGTGATCTGGATAGAATCTTATAAAAAAAAAAAATCCATGCATTCAGTAACCGTGATGTTATATTAATATCAGACTTTAAGGCAAAACACATTATTAGAAATAGAAGAATGATACTACATAATGATAATTAATCAAAAGATAATTTTAGATGTGTTTTCATTCAATAGAGTCTCAAAAAATATATAAAGAAACATATAAAGAAAAAATTTATAGAACTACAAGGAGAAATAGACAAACTAGAGTCACAATGAAATTGATTTTTAACACACTTCTCTCAGTAACTCTTATAACAAGCAGATAAAAGTAAGGAGAGAGATATGAATTGGTCTAATGAACACATATGTAGACTACTATAACGAGGGCAGAATCAAATAAATTGTTCAGATCCTATGTGATAATGCAAGTCTCTACATATTTTAAAAGAATGAAATAACACAGAATATGTTCTCTGACCACAATACAACTAAGTTAGAAATCACTGACAAAAGGATTTTTTTTAAATCATGTTTGGAAATAAAGTACTATACCTTTATATAACACATGGGTCAAAAAAGAAATAAAAATGTAAGTTAGAAAATACTTTCAAAGAATAATGAAAATATGACGTATCAAAACTTTCAAGAAGTGCAAGGGGAACTTTATCATTTTAACTGTACATAGAGTACTATATAAAAAAAGAAGGGCTTTAAAAATGGATGAGTTAAGATTCTATCCAAGAAGATAGAAAAACAACAGTAAATTAAACTCAAAGAAAGCAGAAGGAAGGAAATAATAAAGTTAGAACATAAATTAATAAGATAAAATATATTGGATTCATCCGTTTCCTTGGTGAAACTGTACAAGGAAAACAAGAAAAGAAACAACCAATGTCAGGAATGAAAAAGAAGACATTACTACAGGTCCTGCAGACCTACAAAGTCATTAAAAATGTTTTAAACAACTTTATAAAACTATATTTTAAAATATAAATAAAATGGATATATTCCTTGAAAAATACTTCAAGTAAAGGTTGGACAGAATAGAGAATTTGAATAATCCTCCAACTATTTAAAAAATTAAATATATAATTTAGAATGTTACAATAAAGAAAATTCCAGGCCCAGATGGTTTCTAACAAACATTCAAGGAAGACATGGTAATCTTACACAAACCCTTTAAGAGTAGGGGAAAAAACAGCTACACATTTGCCAATTCATATTAAGAGGCCAGAATAACTCTAATATAAAAACTGAGATGAAATTCCAATAAAGGAAAATTTCAGGCTAGTCTCATTCAAGAATTTAGATGCAAATATCCTGAAAATAAGATTAGCAGATTTACCCACTAATACTGAAATGACATGTGGGTGACCAACTCAGTCTCAACTGGACAGCCAGAGCCACATTTTACCCACTCTTTTTTTTTCCTGAACTTCAGAAGAGAGTCTATATTCAGTTTTTGGTAACTTTGTTAATAAACCAATATTACCAAACCACATCTAGTAATATATAAAAAGGATAATCCATGTTGGACACATTCCAGAATGTAAGCCTGGGTTACGATTTGAAAATCAATGCAATTCATCACATTAATAGAGTAAGAGAATCACATAATTATTTCAGTTGATTTCAATAGAGGATGTTAATAAAATTTAAATCAAATATATGCTAAAAACTCTCAGCAAACTAGGACTAGAAAGGAATTTTCTGAATCTGAAAAAAGATATCCCCCAAAAGGACCTTCAGCAAATATCATACTTAATGGTGAAACATTGAAAGCTTTCCCCCTGACACTGGGACCAAGACAAGGTGTATGAGCCTCCTAGGGCTGCTGTAACAAAGTACCACAAACTGGGTTACTTCAAACAAGAGAAATGCATTGTCTCACAGTTCTGGAAGCTACCAGCTGAGATCAAGGTGTTGGGAGGGCCATGCTCTCTTTGAAGGCCCTAGGGGCAAATCCTTCCTTGCCTCTTCTTAGTTTCTGGGGGTTGCCAGCAATCTTTGGCATCCCTTGTCTTGTAGATACAGCACTCCAATCTCCGCCTCCATCCTCATATGGTGTTCTTCTCTGTGCATGTGTCTATATCTGTTCTCTTTTTATGAGGACACAAGTCATATTAGAGTAGGGCAAACCCTACTCCAGTATGATCTCATCTTAACTTGATTACGCCTGCAAAGGCAGTCCAAATAAAGTCACATTCACAGATGCCGGGGTTTAGGACTTCAATATACCTTTTTGGAGGATAATTCAGCCTACAATACAAGGACTCTCACTGTTGCCACTTCCTTTTGTACTGCAGGTCCCAGCCAGTGTAAAAAGGCCAAAATAAGAAATACAAAATGTAAAGATTAGAAAAGAAGAAATAAAACTGTCATTATTCATGGATGACATAATTGTCTATGGAGAAAATCCTAAACAATTCACAGATAAATTATTAGAATATGTTTAAAAAGGTTGGTATATACAAGGTTAATACATAAAATTAATTTTACTACAATACATGACAATAGCATAAAAAACCATACACGTAGAAATCAAACTAATAAAATACGTGTAAGATCTCTGGGCAGAAAGCTATAAAATCTTATTGGGAGAAACTAAAGAAGACTTAAATATGCTATGTTCATGAATTAGAAGACTCAATATTGTAAATTTGCCAAGTCTTAAATGGTCTACAGATGCAGTGCAATCCCCATCAAAATCTCAGCGTGTGGAAACTGACAGGATGATTCTCAAGTTATATGGACATGGAAAAGCTGAAGAACAGTCAAGAATTTGTTGAATAAAGCTAAAAGGGTATGTATTACTGAATATGAAGAGTTATTATAAAGCTATTTTAATGAAGACAATGTAGTATTGGCACAAAGACAGACAAACAGGCCAATGGGACAGATAGGGTGCCGACAAACACACCTATGCATACATGGGCACTTGCTCGATGACAGAAGAACACTATGGAGTGGTGAGTTAAAGGGGAGACTTTTCAATAAACTGTACTGACATAAATGAATATTCTTATGAAAAAAATGAATTTTCTCCCTACCTTGTATTAGCCACCAAAATAGTTATATGCAAAAATATAGATGAATTTCACAAATATTTAAGCAAAAAGAAATACATACAGTAATACTCTCTTTAAATAAAGTTAAAACAAAATTAAACTATAGTGCAAGAAAAGTCAGGATTGCAGTTAATTTGGGCAAAAAAAAAGTGTTCGTAACTGGCAGAAGGTACAAGAGGAGTTTCCAGGGAGCTAGGAAAGATTTCATTTCTTTGCCTAGAGGGTGAGATGGCGGTAGCATAAAAAGTGGTTGGACAGATTCATTCATTCAACAAATAATTATTGAGAAATCACTATATATCAGGTATTGCACTAGATCTGGGTCATCAAAGGGGAATAAATATAGGCCTGATCCCTGCTCTGGCCGTGCTTACCTCTGATAGCAGACAGACAAAAACAATTAATGAATACAGATAAATATACACAATCACCTCACAGTCACCTCATAGGGTAAGTGCTCTGAGAGATACCCTTGTCTTGCTACCCAAGGGGGACTCTTTCCTCATTGGGGGTGGGGATGAAGAGGAAAGCCATTAGGTCTTTCACTGGACTGAATCATAAAAATAGCTCAGAATTGCATTTCTCCTTTTCCTTACCCCAAAAAAGTAGTGGTTACTCCTTTTATCTCTAATGGTTCCAATGTCATTTTAGATCTACACTTAGTTATACCTAGGAATCCCATCTGACACTTAGAAATTCCATCTGTTAATCCGAGGAAAATCTTGGCTTGAAAGTAATGGCACCAGTCCCTTAAAATGGCACCTATGTGCGAATACCACTAATTTTTAGATAATTTTAGGGCTGTTACTCTAAAATAAAAAAGTTCTTTTGAAATTCTAATTAAAAAAGCAATGAGTTTTAAAATAACCCTTTCCATGTTATAAAATACTTCTATGCTCATTGTAGAACAGCTGGGAAATCAGAAAACTGCAAAAAAAATTTTTTTTAAACCCTCAAAAATCCATAATTCTATCAATAGGTATCAATTCTATCTATAGCTACTGTAAACGTTATGATATGTCTCTTTCAATATTTAAATGCCTTGAAATATTTATTTTCACGGTTGAGATCAGAATTTCTATGTGGTTTTGTAACCCGAGTTTTCCATCTAAAAAATATAAGAACTTATTTCCCCAGTCATTAATCTTCCTAAACATAATTCTTAAGTTTGTAAAAATTCCATCCTACAGATATACCTAAAAGTCAGTTTATTTACTTTGTTTCCCCAGGAAAGAATCCTACATGACCATGGTTCTGGGCCCGTGTAAGTGCTGCCTTGTGAACAGTGTAGACAAGATCACAGAATCATCCTCCAAGTACTTAAAGCCAATGTAAAAGTTTTTCCAAGGCAAAGCTGGACTGTGAATCCAGCAATTTCCAGTGTTCCCCAGATGTGAATCATCTCAGTGAGAGGCCATTATTCGAGTGCAACAGGGCTTCAGGCGTCCAGCGGTGTCAAAGTTCTGCTAAGCGTCCGAAGTCTAGCAAAAGGTTCCGATGGGCCATTGGAACTCAGCGGCCCCGGCGGAGGCTGCTCCCAGGACGGCAGCAATCAGACCGGGACCGGCCGCAGAGTTCCCAGTCCCGCGGAGCGCTAGCTGCCGGGCGGACGCGGAGGCCCGAGAGTCCTAGTCCTCCTGTCCAGGTTTAATCCGCGCCTACGCGGTAAATTCCACGAGGTGCTCCCAGCGTAGCCCGCCGCGCCCTGCTCCGCGCCTGGCCATCCGGGCTCCCTCCCGGCCCTGTCGCCCTCCGCACCCGCCTTAGGCGCAGCAGCCGAGCCCTGGCTGCGCCCTCTGGGCGCGCTCCTCCGAGTCCCAAGTTCGGGTCGCGAGTCTGAACTTGGGAGGAACGCGCCCCGGGTCCCCGCCCTTCCCGGACTGCCCCATCCCCATCCCCCGCAACTGGGAGCGCGCAGGCGCAGCCGGCCGGGAGTCCCGTCAGCGGTCCCGGAGCCAGTGGCCGCGCCCGTGCCGGTAGCGCCGCTGCCACCGCTCACCATGGGCCCGGGTCCTCGGCTGCTGCTACCTCTCTTGCTTTGCGTGGGGCTCGGCGCGCTTGTGTCTTCTTCGGGGGCCGGGGGCTTCCGCAAGCGAGGCCCCTCTGTGACAGCCAAGGTGACCGAGAGCGGCGGGCAGCAACTTCCCCTGTTGCGGGCGGGGCCCTGGGGGCGCTTTGGATACTGGGACCTCGGTGTCAGGGCGGGCGAGGAGGAGGCTTCCCGGGCTCAGGGGGACTGGAGGCGGCCGCCGGGCTGGGTGGGAGGGGACTGCTCGCGTGCGGGGAGGCCGGCGCTCCCAGGGAGACCCTGGGGGAGCTGGGCTGAGGCCAGCCTGCCCCCGCCGCAGGCTGCTTGGACTTCTTGTCCCGGGTCGGTGGTCCGAGGAGATCAGCTTGTGGGTAGGAGAGGCTTCCGGAACCGGCTGGCCAGTTCTCCAGGAAGGAGACTGCCCAAGTACTTCCTTCGGCGTGGCCTGGGCTCGGGAGCGGAGCGAGAGGAATGCGGTGGGGACGGGACCCGCAAAGGAGAGGCACTCGGAGTCCAGGGCTTGCAGCCGCCCGCCCGCCGCGTGGTCTCCACTGTGGCCGCGGTGGCTTCGGGCAGGCGTTAAAGCGCCTCGTTCAGATGAGAGACTACCCTTCGCCTCTTTTGGGGAACCGTCGTCCTCTCCCGGGAAGGGGAGGTGCGCCTTCAACTTCGGCGGGCAGGTGGCCCCGGCTGTGGGCTACGCCAGGCCGGGCGAAGGCGGCACCTGTAGACCTGGGGCGGCCTCCACGGCGGGGGACGGGGGCGGAGGGCTGCCACAAAGTGCGTCTTTAAGGCTTCCTCGTGCTTAACTCCACTTCAGTTCTTTTTTCAGCATATTTAACCAAGGGTAGACGATAATGGGAGAGTGCAGGGAGAGGGAGGGGATAATTTGGTGCCCGTGATCACCACTTCTAGAAAACCCACTGGCAATAGTGTCTTGGAAACTGAAGCCGGAGGGGCGGGCTGCAGCTGAAAGTGGTCTTCATCAGTCTGGGGTTTGTCAGTGGAAACGATACTAATCAGGGACTAGAATACTTACATGCTCTACAGCAGGCGCCACCTGAGGACGGGGAAGACTAGGGGTGGGGAGGAGGAGGTCCAGCTCAGCATCTGGTGTCGCAGAAAGGACATGCCACGCTGTGGGCGGGGTTGATAAACAGCCTGATGGTTTTGAGAAGCTCTGATCTCACTCCCAGCCTCTTGATCTTGTAGGCGTATCTAACTTTGGGAAATGATTTGTGCAAGGCCACAGAGCTGAATAGGGTCTCTGGAGATAAAGCCATAAACATAAAATTCGCACAATTATGAAATGTTAGAGGAAATAAACTTCAATATACGTTGGGTGACATTTTAAAATATCTGAAAAATGAGAAAAACCAGCGCAGGGAAGATTTAGGAGGCAAAGGGAACTGCATGTGCGTAGGTCCTCCAACAGGAAAGCCCTCCCTGCATTCAGAGGATGTGGAGAGGATGGTGTGGCTTCAGCACAGCATGAGAGGTGACTTGAGATGAGGTTGGAGGCGTGAGCAGCAGCGGGATCACACAGGGCCTTAGAGGCTGCAGGTAGGCGTGCGGGTATTGAGACAATTTTTCTTAAAATTTGAAGTCTTATTCTGCAGTCAGAGCCACTGAAGGGTTTTAAGCATAAGAATGGCATGATTTCGACCGGGCGCGGTGGCTCACGCCTGTAATCCCAGCACTTTGGGAGGCCGAGGTGGGTGGATCACGAATGTCAGGAGTTCAAGAATGGCATGATCTCAGTATATACTCTTGAGAAATTTATGTGGTCACTCAGTGGAGAGTGAACTGGGAGGTCATTCAGGGCACCATGCCAGAGTCCAGATGGTGGCTTGGATTAGGGTGGTAATCATTGAAATGGGGAGCAAGGAAAGGACTTGAAACAGATTTTGGAGGGATAACTAACAGGAGTTGCTGACGGTTTAGAAAGTGGGGTGAGGGAGAGGGAATAGGAGGAATAGGTTTGCCAAATAAGATACAGGAAGCCCAGTTAGATGTGAATTTCAGATTAACAGTGAATAAATGTTTTTAGTGTAAGTACATCCCCTGTAATATTTGGGAACAAGTTTCACCTGGGAAACTTTTTAAACCTGCTGATGCAGAGACCCGCCGCAGAGCAAGTCAATCACAATCTGTATGGGTGGGGCTCAGTATCCTATCGTTTAGAAGCTTTCGGTGATTCTGATGTGCAGGCAGCATGGGCTGGGAACCACTGGAAGATGGAGCCAAGAGAGGAGGAAGCTGGTGGCTGCAGAAGGGGAAGGGTTTGAGCATCCTAAACCCTTGTCGGTGACACTGTCACTGAGGGAGAGTTTGCATGTACCCTACTCTCAGAATTGTTACTTAACATGTCATTTTTTCCCCCTACCGAATTTGTCATTAAGTTCTGAAAGCTAATTGTGTAGGTGCGTCTTAAACAAATCTGCTCTGTGAAATTACTTTTTCATGAACTTCTAAAGACAACTGAATCTATTGGGAAATGATGTTCAAAATAATTTCTCTGAGTGCAGGCAAGTACATTAATTGGCCATTGCTCTAGTATATTGTTTTCCCCAGCAGTGTTTTTGTTTACCTGTGGTTTCATTTAAAAATAAGAATCTGTAAATAAGAGAGGTGTGAGGTGCTATTCTGCCCACATGGCCCATTAGTGGCATTAACTTCGTCCACACATCCTACTGCTTGGCCAGCCTGGCAGCTTCCTGCCCCAGCCATAGAGGCTCAGGTGGGGGCTCTGGCTCATTGGACTCCAAATCCACAGAATTACATTTGCTGACCTATATTTTTGAATGCCATGGGATCTGTGCAGGATCCGGCATCAGGAGTGGGTGAAATAATGCCACCATCCTTCCAGCTGTACACATATTACAGCTTGCAAGCACATTAGCATGTAGTGGCCAGGAGGCTGTGGCTAGATGGCCTTGGACAAGTTATCTAGTGTCCACAGCTCCGTTTCCTCCTCTGTCAAATGGAGATAGAAATCATCCCTACCTGGGAGGGCTTTGCGCATTAGATGAGGTAAAGCAGATGTCTTAGTCCATTTGTGTTGCTATAAAAGAATACTTGAGGCTGGGCAATTTATGAAGAAAAAAGGTTTATTTAGCTCACGATTCTGTCAGCTGGAAGATTCAAGTTTCGGCATCTGGTGACAGCCTCAGACTGCTTCCACTCGTGGCGGAAGATGGTAGGGAACAGGCATGTGCAGATCACGTGGTGAGAGAGGAAGCTGAGGGGTGTGGTGTCAGCTTCCTTTTAAAACCAGTTCTCATGGGAACTAACAAAGTGAGAACCCACTCAATTCTGAGATGGCACCAAGCCATTCATGAGGGATCTACGCCCATGACTCAAACACCTCACATTAGGCCCCACCTCCAACACTGGGATCAAACATCTAAACCATAGCAGCAGGTAAAGCACATAGTCCATAGTCCCTGATTGCAGAAGTCACTTGTTAGTGTTATTTGTGTTTATCTTCTGAATCCTAGTGTGACAGCGCAGACATGAATCATTTATTTTACAGATGAAGAAAGGAAGTTCAGAGTTTAATTTGCTGAAGGTTCCATGGCCATTGAGTAGTGGAGCTGCATTTGAGAACAGTTTCTTCCACATCACGGCTCATGTACTGGGTGTGTTCCCTAGTTACTTTGGAAATGGAATCAGGATTAATTCCACAGGGGTTTGGGCCAGGCTGTGTGAGTGCCTCCTCCCTTTTCCTCTACCTCCTCCCACCTCCAATGCTGTGTAATTTCCAAATGACTTTCAAGGGCAGCCTTGAGGGAAAAAACAAGTGACTGAGGTGCCCACCCCCAAAGTCTAGCATGGAATCCAATATCACCTTTCCCAGGAAGCCCACACTGATCTCCACAGATAATCACCACCCCTTACCATGACACCTCATCTGTACTTATCTTATAAAATCGGACTTCTCATTATATTATAGCATTCATGTATGTGTTTTCTGTTGGACTGAAGCTCCTTGAGGGTAGGAGCTTTGTAGCCCCAGCCCACCCCTGGCCCAGCACTGGGCCTTGTTCCCAGAGGCACTCAGCAACATCGAAGATGAATCTAGTGGTGAGAGGGTTTAGAGTGAGAGCGTTTGCTGGCAGCTGTCTCACCTCCTGTCTAGGAATGTGCGTGCCCAGGTTCTCCTTGAGTATCATTTGACATTGAACCATTTAACATTTGACTGCCTCCTTCTGCTGACCTTTAGCTGGCCCCCAGGGAGCTCAAAACACTGTTTCTGCTCCTTAGGGTCTCCCTGGCTAAACTGGGAGAGCCCTATTAACAAAAACCAGTTTAGCGAGAGGCAGCCTTGAAACCTGGGCTGTCACACACATAGTCGGGAAATCTTGGTAAATCACGTAACCGCCCTCATTCCACTTTTCTGATTTGTAAATTAGTGATAATAGTTCCTGTCCCACCTTTCCCGGGTGTGGTGAGGATGAATTATATAAGATGATGTGGGTTACCCACACTGAGACCACCACTAAGTCATGTTTGTTTCCTTCCCTCTTCCTTCCTGCTCCTCCTCCAGTTTCTGCCCCTTTGTTTAAACGCCTCTCCTGGCTGGGCGCTGTGGCTCATGCCTGTAATCCCAGCACTTTGGGAGGCCAAGGTGGGCAGATCACTTAAGGTCAGGAGTTCAAGACCCAGCCTGGCCAATATGGTGAAACCGTCTCTACTAAAAATACAAAAAGTAGCTGGGTGTGGTGGTGCACACCTGTAATCCCAGTTACTCAGGAGGCTGAGGCACAAGAGTCACTTGAACCTGGGAGACAGGGGTTGCAGTGAGCCAAGATTGTGCCACTGCACTCCAGCCTGGGTGACAGAATGAGATTCGGTCTGAGTAAATAAGTAAATAAATAAATGTCTTTTCCGTCTCCCTCATACATTCCTTCCTTCACCACCCCAGTGCAGACCATTATGACCTTATTCTTGAACTGGTGTAAAAGCCTGCAGATTCTCTTTCTCTCCCCATATGAGTAACATTCACAGAGCCTCGCTTGACCCTATTCTTTCTCTTCTCTCTGTTGCCTAACAAAACTCATGCTTAGGCCGGCATCTCTCCTCTGCCTTCTGGAACTGGTGGGCAGCTTCTTTCCTGGCCCCCCACCCACTCTAACCCCTAGTTGTGGTCAGAAGGGCAGCTTTGCTTCTCTGCACACAGGCTACATTTCCTGCCTAGATGCATTGGTTCCAGAAAGAAGTCTGCCAGACAGGGCTCACCCCCATCCTTGTTTGGGGAGATGACTCCCCTCCTCCCAGGCCTGCCTCCCTTCAAGCCTTCCTCCTTAGCCTCACTGTTCCTGCAGGCCTAGGCGTACAGTGTTTGGGGGGCATTTGTCACACACTGCCCTGTACTGTGGTTATGGGTTTGCCTATCCTATCTCTTTATTTTAAACTGCCTTAGGATAGGGACTCTCTTACACAGTTTGTGCCTTCACATTGCCTTTTACGTAACCTTGCATAAATACTTGTTGACAAAATAAGATTTGATTTTATCCTTTCCATTAGAGTTGGGAAAACCTGCTGTGTGTTCTCATGCTCACTCATGAAGCTGAAGGATATTTTGATTTGGAGAAAAAATTATAATAATACATGTGCTAGGCTATGTGTAAAAAAATGTGATTTTTGCTGAAGAGTTATGTTGGGTGACAGGTACTTTTTGTTCATCTGCTCATGTTGCTCTCCCAGATCTTACTCCCTTCCTTCCTAAACATTCACAGGTTTTGTTTTCTCTTCTTTATTTTAAAAGTCCTATTCAACATAGTGTTGGAAGTTCTAGCCAGGGCAATCAGGCAGGAGAAAGAAATAAAGGATATTCGATTAGGAAAAGATCAAGTCAAATTGTCCCTGTTTGCAGATGACATGATTGTATATTTAGAAAACTCCAGCGTCTCAGCCCAAAATCTCCTTAAGCTGATAAGCAACTTCAGCAAAGTCTCAGGATACAAAATCAATGTGCAAAAATCACAAGCATTCTTATACACCAATAAAAGACAAACAGAGAGCCAAATCATGAGTGAACTCCCATTCACAGTTGCTTCAAAGAGAATAAAATACCTAGGAATCCAACTTACAAGGGATGTGAAGGACCTCTTCAAAGAGAACTACAAACTACTGCTCAACGAAATAAAAGAGGACACAAACAAATGGAAGAACATTGCATGCTCATGGATAGGAAGAATCAATATCGTGGAAATGGCCATACTGGCCCAAGGTAACGTATAGATTCAATGCCATCCCCATTAAGCTACCAATGATTTTCTTCACAGAATTGGAAAAAACTACTTTAAAGTTCATATGGAACCAAAAAAGAGCCTGCATTGCCAAGACAATCCTAAGCCAAAAGAACAAAGCTGGAGGCATCACGCTACCTGACTTCAAACTATACTACAAGGCTACAGTAACCAAAACAGCATGATACTGGTACCAAAACAGAGACGTAGACCAATGGAACAGAACAGAGCCCTGATAAATAATACCACACATCTACAACCATCTGATCTTTGACAAACCAGACAAAAACAAGAAATGGGGAAAGGATTTCCTATTTAATAAATGGGTGCTAGAAAAACTGGCTAGCCATATGTAGAAAGCTGAACTGGATCCCTTCCTTACACGTTTTTTGTTTTGTTTTGTTTTATTTTGTTTTGTTTTGTTTTGAGACAGAGTCTCACTCTGTCGCCCAGGCTGGAGTCCAGTGGCCGGATCTCAGCTCATTGCAAGCTCCGCCTCCCGGGTTTACGCCATTCTCCTGCCTCAGCCTCCCGAGTAGCTGGGACTACAGGCACCCGCAACCTCGCCCGGCTAGTTTTTGTATTTTTTAGTAGAGACCGGGTTTCACCGGGTTAGCCAGGATGGTCTCGATCTCCTGACCTTGTGATCCACCCGTCTTGGCCTCCCAAAGTGCTGGGATTACAGGCTTGAGCCACTGTGCCCGGCCTCCTTACACGTTATAAAAAATTAATTCAAGATGGATTAAAGACTTAAATGTTAGACCTAAAACCACAAAAACCCTAGAAGAAAACCTAGGCAATACCATTCAGGACATAGGCATGGGCAAGGACTTCATGACTAAAATACCAAAAGCAATGGCAACAAAAGCCAAAATTGACAAATGGGATCTAATTAAACTAAAGAGCTTCTGCACAGCAAAAGAAACTACCATCAAAGTGAACAGGCAACCTACAGAATGGGAGAAAATTTCTGCAATCTACCCATCTGACAAAGGGCTAATACCCAGAATCTACAAAGAACTTAAACAAATTTACAAGAAAAAAACAATCCCATCAAAGAGTGGGCAAAGGATATGAACAGACCTTCTCAAAAGAAGACATTTATGCAGCCAACAGACACATGAAAAAATGCTCATCATCACTGGTCATCAGAGAAATGCAAATCAAAACTACAATGAGATACCATCTCCACACCAGTTAGACTGGTGATCATTAAAAAGTTAGGAAACAACAGATGCTGGAGAGGATGTGGAGAAATAGGAACGCTTTTACACTGTTGGTGGGAGTGTAAATTAGGTCAACCATTGTGGAAGACAGTCTAGATCCTCAAGGATCTAGATCTAGAAATACCATTTGACCCAGCGATCCCATTACTGGGTATATACCCAATTATAAATCATGCTACTATAAAGACACATGTACACGTATGTTTATTGCAGCATTATTCACATTAGGAAAGACTTGGATCCAACCCAAATGTCCATCAATGATAGATTGGATGAAGAAAATGTGGCACATATCCACCATGGAATACTATGCAGCCATAAAAAAGGATGAGTTCATGTCCTTTGCAGGGACATGGATGCAGCTGGAAACCATCATTCTCAGCAAACTATTGCAAGAGCAGAAAACCAAACACCGCATGTTCTCACTCATAAGTGGGAATTGAACAATGAGATCACTTGGACACAGGAAGGGGAACATCACACCCCGGGGCCTGTTGTGGGGTGGGGACGGGGGAGGGATAACATTAGGAGATATACCTAATGTAAATGACGAGTTAATGGGTGCAGCACACCAACATAGCACATGTATACATATGTAACAAACCTGCACGTTGTGCACATGTACCCTAGAACATAAAGTATAATTTAAAAAATAAAGTCTGGAAGGCTCTTCTAGTGTGTTGTACAATGTTTCTTTAAGGTTTCATCTCTGGCTTCCTGGTGTTGCTTCGTTATTGCTGGTTATTGAATTTACACCTTGGCTTGCAAATCCCTTTGGAGAAACTGCTTCTGGCAGAAGCCAGCTCTGCACTGACCTGGCTCATGGGTGTGTTGAAGCTGCCTCCTATCCCAAGCCATGCTGAATGGCACTGCTTTAATACACTGCTCCATCTCAAGGGCAGGGCCCTTCATGCATTCTCTAAAGCTCTTCTATATAAGTAATAATAAAAGTTTAGCTGCTTTGGCCATGTAAAAATTGTAAAATGCCACATGGAACACTAAATATCACATCACCCTGTGACAGACGTGCTGATGTATTGGCAGAAGCTCTTGTCTTGAGCAGAAGCTTGACAGTCTTTACTTAGTGATTTTTCTAAACTGTAAGACATCTTTTTTCCTTGACAACCCTTCTTATATTTTTTAAAGCCATCTCTTGAATGTCTTTTTTTACCCATTCAAACAGTAAATTGGTTCATATAATCTAAACGCGCTAATAGAATGCCCTTCGACTCTGTGGCCTTTTCAAGCGTTCTATGTCAGAATCATCTTAGCACAGTGATTTGTGAAGCAAAATGCATATAATGTTGTTTCAGATGAGACAGTTTAAAACAAGTCCAAGAGAACCTGTATGGTTTTACCTGCAAAAAGAGGACCCACATTCACTTCTGGCTATGTGTTTTCTTTTTTCTGTTCTGAAATATTGGGTTAGGGAAAGCAAATTCTACCTGGGTAACTTGGGAACAAAAGGACTGAATTCAGTGTCTGAGTTTACAGGGTGATGGCTTTGTCAGGACCCAAGCTTAATGTCTGCTGTCCTTTGGAAAGCTGGGGCCCTGGTGCTTTACTGTGCTTGGACATGAATGGCAGGCCTTTTGAAGGACTGCTGTGTTTCATCATTTTCATCATCTCCTGGATGGCAGACATCTGTTGAGAATTCACTGCAAATTTAGGACTGTTTGAAATTACAAAAAAAAAAAAAAAAAAAAAATTGGATGGTTAGCCTGTTCCCTCACAATCTTTTTTTTTTTTTTTTTTTTTTTTTTTTGGTCCTGCCAAGATTAGAGAGCATTACTTTCTAAGAGAGCAACATTTTCTATTCTAATCTTCATCCATAAAGCCAGGAAATGGGAAGTAGCAGCAGTGTTTCTCTGGGGTATGGGAAGAGAAGAATTACTGAAGACTTCATTGGCCAACCCTGACAGAATTGAGTCAGCCTTTAAACTCAATACCTGGTACAGTGCCAGGCCCATGGGTGGTGGTTAATGTTTGTTGAATGAATATTTGTGAGTGAGATGCACCCACGCAATAGTTTTAAAGTACCTTTAATTGATGTCATGCTCCTTTATAAAATACTGATGGGCAGGGCTTTTGTATGTGGATCAATTCTCAGATTTTAATTTTGGCTTACCTTATATTTGTGCTTTTCCACCTTATAACCTTCCACTTTGCCTTTCCACTGCACACAGGTTTTCTTTGATGTGAGGATTGGAGACAGAGATGTTGGCAGAATTGTGATTGGCCTCTTTGGAAAAGTTGTGCCCAAGACGGTAGAAAATTTTGTTGCTCTAGCAACAGGAGAGGTATGTCTCAGTTTTATTTCCTTTCAACTGGATCTTCTTTCTTTTAAGACAAATATAAAGATGTCTTCTGAGAAAATAAGTATTCAGTTAGTATCTCAGATGAACCTTACCACATTTGACTTTATTTTCCAATAAAATATGTATTATCTGGGCACTCAGTGACCTTAGGCTTCTGGAAATTCGGAGAAAATAATCATCAAGTGAAAATAAGGGGCCGGGCGCGGTGGCTCACGCCTGTAATCTCAGCACTTTGGGAGGCCGAGGCGGGCAGATCACGAGGTCAGGAGATCGAGACCGTCCTGGCTAACATGGTGAAACCTCGTCTCTACTAAAAATCAAAAATAAAAAAAAATTAGCCGGGCGTGGTGGCAGGTGCCTGTAGTCCCAGCTACTCGGGAGGCTGAGGCAGGAGAATGGCTTGAACCCTAGGGGCAGAGCTTGCAGTGAGCCAAGATTGTGCCACTGCACTCCAGCCTGGGCGACACAGAGAGACTCTTTCTCAAAAAAAAGAAAAGAAAATATGGTTTGCTCTCTTTTAACTTATTCACATTAATACTTTACTTACATATTTATTTTTTGGTCAGCTAATGATAAATTTCTCTCAGTAAACCATAGCTGGGACATAATCAAGTTCTGTAGACATTTTATTTAATTTTCTCAGTTTGTCCTTTCTAGATCAACACTGAGTTTATCTTTCAGTATGGCCTCTGTTACTTGTTATTCAACTGAAATAATCTCTTTAGAAAGGATATGGATATAAAGGAAGCAAGTTTCATCGTGTCATCAAGGATTTCATGATTCAAGGAGGTGACATCACCGCTGGAGATGGCACTGGGGGTAATGTCTTTGCATTTTTTCCTTTCCCATTTACCAAACCGAAACCTAAGATTAAGCCAGTATATGAACCCAGTCCATTGAAATCCAGAGCTAAGGAACACAGTTGTAAAGACGACTCTACCTCTTTAAGAAGCATGGAGTTTGGGGGACTCATCTCTAGCAGCATCTCGACAGGTATGAGGGAGGCGTCCTCATTTTAAGCAGGATTGTTTTGGTGTTTATTGTCTTTCCATAATCGAGCTGTATTCATTTTGCAGTTATTAAAATACCAGACTACTAGTCAGTAGCCATACAGAAAAATATCTTCCGTAGGAAGGAAAAGGTGTGGAACGTGAAGCTGCATTCCCCTGGGATGGCAGCGCGCTACAGAGGTGGGCATTGCAGGTAGAAAACGGGCCTCACACCAGGAGGGTGAGACTAGAGTTAGCAGCAGGGTCACAGTGCACTTTCTTCCTTCTTTCAAAATCTTTCATCATATTGACAAAAAACAAAACCAAAAAACAAGTCCAAGAGAACTTTTAAGGTTTAACCTGCAAAAAAGTGACTCACACTCTTGGCTCTGTGTTTTCTTTTTTCTGTTCTAAAATGATGGGTTGGAGAAAGCAAATTCTACTTGGGTAACTTGGGAACAGGAGGACTGAATCCAGTGTCTGAGTTTACAGGGTGGTGGCTTTGTCAGGACCCAAGCTTACTATTTGCTGTCCTTTGGACAAAGCTGGGAACTAATAATGTTTTAAAGTTAAAGTAATAGCTGAGTTGTCAGAATTGTAATGCGAACTGACTCTTATAAACAAAGTTGGAGTTCAATAAAGTAGAAATAGTTAAATTTAGAGAGTTTCAAATCTCCTTCGGCTTATTGTTTCTCATTGAGGATTATAGCTATCCAGCTCCATATACTGTTTTCTCTTAAAAGTATAGTGAGTTCTTTTCTTTAACATACACTATATATGTAACTCCAAAGAGTTTAAATTTACTTTAGATTTAAGATTTTTAATTCAACAAATACTGGTTTGGGTGGATATTTGTTGTCTATTTTTAAAGCAACAGGACATTTTCAAGCACTATTTCTAATTTTATGTTTATTGCAATGGTTCATTTATAACAAAAAAATGACTGCTATTAGGTGCTTTGATTTGCCAGGCACTTTGTGAAGATTATTTTTAGTTCTTACAAAAATGCTGAGAGGTATGGGAATGTAGACTGGAGTGGAGGAAGGCATTTAGGTTACCCCAGGCAATGGGATTTGCTGAGGATGCTTGTGGATCTCACTGGAAAACCCTGCAGCGCTGGTGCCCGTGCCCATGCCCTTGGTGCTGGCATCTCACCTTCCTGCCATAGGAATGGTGCCGCCAGGAATGGTGACTGAGCTTCACTCTGCCCTCTTCTCTGCTACCTTTTTTTTTCTCACTACTTTCCCCGCCCAGTGTGTGTCTTGCCTTAAAATTCTCTGAATTTTGGAGACGATGTTTTGGGCAATTTAAATATAGCCTAGACCCTTCTGTAGGAGCACTCTCCTACAAGGCCACTTCAAGTGTCACTGACCAACCAGTTATAAATTGCTTGGCTTATATCCACTTCTGGGCTTTTTTTTTTTTTTTTTTTCTTTTGAGACACAGTCTCACTCTGTCACCCAGGCTGAAGTGCAATGGCATGATCTTGGCTCATTACAACCTCTGCCTCCCAGGTTCAAGCGATTCTCCTGCCTCAACCTCCCAAGTAGCTGGGATTGCAGGCACCCACCACCAAGCCTGGCTGATTTTTTTTGTATTTTTAGTAGAGACAGGGTTTCACCATGTTAGCCAGGATGGTCTCGGTCTCCTAATGTTGTGATCCACCCGCCTCGGCCTCCCAAAGTGCTGGGATTACAGTCATGAGCCACTGCTCCCAGCCTACTTCTGGGTTTTCTAACTGAATCAGAATTTTGAAGTTGGCAACTGACAGATAAGGGGCCCTGCAGAAGGGGAGATGGGCCTGGCAGACCCTTGAGGTGTTGGAGGATGGTCAGATCCTTCTCATGGTTTGTGGATAAAGGTCTTCCACTCTGCCTGCTGCTTTGCTAGAACTCCAGACCTTCTGCCTTGCTTTGGTTCTCCTGTTCAAGGCTGACCACTGGGTGCTCCCAATTGCCATCATCCTCTGGGTCCTGATGGGTCCTGAAGTTGCTGGGACCAACAACTTCCAGATCAGCTGCTATTGTTCTTGGTGCTGAGGCAAGAAAAAACACCAGCTTTAGAGTCAGAAAGTCAGATGTTCAAATTCTGCTCTGCTGTTTTCAAGTTTTGTAACCTCTGTTTTCCACTGTAAAACAGGACAGAGAATACCTACTCTTCAGGGCTGTTATGAGAATTCACTGTGGGTGTATATTGAATGCTTGGTGCATCCTGGTTGGGTGCTGAGTAACACCCAATCCTGGATAAGTCACAGGACTGTCCTGAGCTTTCAGCCTCAGGAAACAGGTACACAGCCACTAGGATGGCTCACACACCTTTTCATCTGGCTTTAGGATGTTTTCCTGACCTTCAGTTCCTTCTCACTTCAGAGCGAAATCATGGTCCTGCTTGATCAAGGTTTGGCCCTTGGTTTGAGGCCAGAGAGCATCCCGCCATCTTGTGCCATATTTAAGGCTTTCTTTGTTCATTTTAGGCCCTAGTGCCCTGCTTCCTTAAGGAGTTAATTTTATTCCCTCCTTCACTTCTCCTTATGTTTGAACATGTATTCCCCATCCCTACCTCCTATAGGGTTCCAATAACTGATTCCTCTAAGGCCTTATGAACCCTTTGAAGAGTTGACTTTTGGAAGACATCTGTTGACTCTCTTCCTTGTTTTGTCTCAGGTGTGAGCATCTATGGTGAGACATTTCCAGATGAGAACTTCAAGCTGAAGCACTATGGCATTGGGTGGGTCAGTATGGCCAATGCTGGGCCTGACACCAATGGCTCTCAGTTCTTTATCACCTTGACCAAGCCCACCTGGTTGGACGGCAAACATGTGGTATTTGGAAAAGTCATCGATGGGATGGTAAATTGATACACTTTTTTCCTTTCAAAGCTTCATATTTTTATTGAGAGTACTTTCAATAATTTATTTTAATCTTAAAATATGCTTGTTAGAGATCCATTATATAGCTGACTGGCCTCTTCAAAGGGGAATAAATTATATATGGTATGGCATTTTAATTATTAGGGTCATTGGTGCAGCAGCTAGGGACTTGACAAGGAGAAATTAAGGACTTAAGTTGATTTATTTTACTACTTGATATAAATGTAAAGCCCTTTTTAATGGAACCAAAATATACCAGGACCCCATATATACACACAATGGGATATTATTCAGTCTTCAAAAGGAAAGATATTCTGAGGACATTATGCTAAGTGAAATAAACCAGTCATAGGAAGACAAATACTGTATGATTTCATTTATATAAAATATCTAAAGTGGTCACATTGATAGAAACAGAAAGTAGAATGGTAGTTGCCAGGGGCTGGGGATAGGGGTAAATGGGATGTTGTATTTAATAAGGCTTTCAGTTTTGCAAGATGAAAAATTCTGGATATTTGTTGCACAACAGTGTAAATATACTCAACACCACTGCACTGTGCACTTACAAATGAGTAAGATGGCACATTTTATGTTATGTGTTTCTTACCAGAATTAAAAATAGTTAAAAACAAAGCAAAACAAAACAACCCCAGAATCCCATCTGGTTCAGCTCAGACACCCAGGTTACATTCACAGAGACATGGTACGGCAACTAAAGATTATCGAAGAGAATTTGAATCTATACTGTTGGGTCTCAAAGAATGTCAAAGCAGTCCAATTCACAACCCATAGAAACACTTCGTAACACCCTCCTTCCCTCTGTTTTTCAACATTTCTGCCTCACGGATGCCTAAAGTAGCTCTCTCAGCTCCTAAACTGGTTACTGTAAAGTCTGCCCACCCCAGGCCTGGACCATCCTTGTCTCCCTTGCCCTCTTCTAAGTTTCATTTTATTTTGTTTCCATGTGACTTATTCTGCCTCCCTCATCCAAATGTAAATAAACCAGTCTTGCTCACCGCAGTTCCTTCACAACTAACTGCTCTTCTGATTCTATCCAACACAAGTTTGGGAACTGAGCTAGTAGCCTCAAGGCTATTTGGGAAACCCACCAAAAACCTACTTTCTTGGTCCTCGACCAGTCCTAACTTCCTTCAGTGTGAACTACGGTACTGCTGGGCTTGTGAAGCCTTCCAGGGTAGAGAAAGGCGCATTCACAGCAGTGTAGGGGGCTGGTTACATTAGTATTGGGCTCAACTTATAGGTTAATGACTTGGGTCGCCTTTAAATGGACAAACCTAGAACTAGGTCCATTTCTGAATCTGCTTTCTGGCCCATACATGTGAAGACCTATTATAGCATGGAGCTGAAACTGACTCAGACTTCATGTTAACTGTTAACCAGGTGAATGGAAATGCCTTTTACTAGAGCTGGGTGTTTACAAAAATATCTACTTTTTTAGAATATAAAATGCGTATTTAAAAAGAAGTGAGGAAATATACCAGTGTGGTCTCTGAGTAAGAAGGTCATGGGTGAATTTTATTATGTTATGTTTATATTTTCTAAATATTCTAAGTTTTCTACAGTTAGCGTGCGTGATCTTAGTAGTCATAAAAAACAAACAAACCAACCTTATTTCCTTCCCACTTGGGCTTTTGGAGTTGGCTTTGGTTTAACCTTTGGATTGCTATAGCTGCTGGTCAGAATTAAACCACGTGTCTACTTTTCCCTCACCAGACAGTGGTGCACTCCATAGAGCTCCAAGCAACTGATGGGCACGACCGTCCACTCACCAACTGCTCAATTGTCAACAGTGGCAAGATAGATGTGAAAACGCCTTTTGTGGTTGAGGTCGCTGACTGGTGACACAACTGGCAGAAAACAAGGATACGCTTTGGCGGGGTGTGTGTGTGTGTGTGTGTGTGTGTGTGTATGTGTGTGTGTGTGTGGTGTCTTTCAATTATTTGCTTTGTTTTGTTTTTTTTCCTTTTTTACTTTCTATTTTCTATCCCAGATCACAGGAAAGTTATAAAAATCAAACCATCAGCCTTTAGTTTGCTTGAACTTTAGTAAACCAACTGCTTAGGGACTTTCAACTTAAATATATACACTTCCTCAAGTGGTACTATTTTTAAAGTAAAAAAACTTTGAATTGGCTATTTTTTTAATGCAATAATGTTTTTTTCTGAATTCACTATGATCCCCATATTGGGTAATGCTGAAGATTTGTCTGAAACAGATGAGGATATTGAGTTTATTATTTTGTATCCAAACAGAAATTCAGGTAAAGGGAAATTTGACTAGTGTAATCTGAGATATGTCATAGGGATTTCTTCCTAACAAAAGGGTGCTTTGCTGTTCTTTATATTAAATACTTTTTTACATAGATCAACTCTTTTTGCAATACTTCTTAAAAATGTAAAGTTCTTTAAAAAATATACAAAAATACACACACTTTAGCATTAACAATGAACAGATTAGAAAGATTTTATAAATCAAACTATAAACACAATTAGATAACTCAGAAATTATGCCCATCCACATCTCATATACTTAAGCTGATTATTTACTTATTGTTATTCAGTGTAACATTTTTAGAAAGTTATCTTGAGCCCAGTTGCAATAGGAATATTTTTTATTACTTACGTAAGGGGATTAAGACTCAGGCTATAAGGTCTGGGGATGGTGGCTCACGCCTGTAATCCCAGCACTTTGGGAGGCTGACACAGGAGAATTGCTCGAGCCCAGGAGTTTGAGACCAGCCTGGGCAACAACAGTGAGACCCTGTCTCTACAAAAACCAAAATTAGCTGGTCATGTTGGTGCACATCTATAGTTCCAGTTACTCAGGAGGCTGAGGTGGGAGGATCGCTTGAGTCCAGGAGGTCAAGGCTGCAGTGAGCTGTGATTGCCCCAGGCAACAGAGTGAGACCCTGTCTCAAACAACACCACCACCACCACCACCCACTCAGGCTATATTTAAACTAGATGAGGCCAGGTGTGGTGGCACATGTCTGCAGTCCCAGCTACTGAAGAGGCTGAGGTGGGATGACTGCCGAAGCCCAGGAATTTAGGGCTATAGTGAGCTATACTGATTGGGTATCTGTACTGTTTGGCATCAATATGGTGGCCACCGGGGAGCATGGGACCACCAGGTTGCCTAAGGAGGGGTGAACTGGACCAGGCTGGAAACAGAGCAGGTCAAAACTTCTGTGCTGGTCAGTAGTGGGATCATACCTGTGAATTGCCACTGCACTCCAGCCTGGGCAACATAGTAAGACCCTATCCTTTTTTAAAAAAATAACTAATGGGAAAGTGAAATTCTACTGGGGCCTTGTCGTAACATACCTGGCTATAATAGAGTGTGCTTGATCTCTGTTCAGATGGGAAGTGTTGTCTGTTAGAAAACAGTGCCATTGCTTCTCATCCAGGACTCATGCAGTGAGGATCCATCTCGAGTTGTATTCTAAGAAAATTGCCTCAATGAGAGATGAATTGAGTATTCCCACTGCTGATTCGCAAATTGCTACAACACTCTTGGACAGCAATTTGTTAATTTTTTTCCAACAAATACTTTTTGAGGGTCTTTGATCTGCCAGGTACCAGTTTGACTTTTGAGGATACAACAATGGACAGAACAGGGCCTCATGGGGCTTACAGTCTAGTGGGGGAAGACAGAGAATAATCAAGGAAACAAGTACAAAGGGTGATGAGTGCTGTGAAAATATATATATATATATATCTCCATGTCTGCTGGAGAGGCTGGGAGAGAAGCATTGTTGGAGTGCAAGGCCTCTTGGGGCCCTCTTGGTTCTCTTGGGCCTCTTGAGGGATGGCATTTGTGCTAAGGCCTGAAGGAAAGGTAGGAAGCAGCAAGAAGGGCCTTCCAGGAGGAAGGAAGAGAAAATATGAAGGTCCCAAGATAAGGATGAGGGAATTCCAGGGCAGAAGAGAAAACCAGTGTGTTAGGGCCTGGTGCGAAAAGGGGAGCGGGATGGGGGTGCGGTCACAGGTGAGGCTGAAACTGGACCAGTTTGGGCCTGGGTGCCAAGGTGTGTCTTTGGTCATGGTACACGGAAAGGTTATCTGTTTGAAGTTGGGGAGGGGCATGATGTGATCTGTGTCTAAGAATTATTATTTTATCTGCTATAAGGAGAATTTTTATAGGGGGGCTAAAAGTGGAAGCAGTCCTTATCAGGAAACCCAAACATTCATAACCTTGGAATTTCTCACTCCTGGGATTGGCTTTAGAAAGTGATCCAAAATTGTAAGGGACATGAGTGTTTCAGTCAGCCCAGCATTTAGTCTGCTTGCTCTGGTGATGGCTGCCCAATTTCTTATTTTTCTTTTGAGAAATCACATCCTTCCCTCACCTAGCTCTAGTCCTTAGGGTGGGCTGAGCCTACAGATGGGTACACACCTGGCCTGGCAGACTCATTAATTAACTCACTTGATAAATATTATCAATAATATAGGCTGGGATAGAGCTGCAAACAAATAGTGTCACCCCTTGTGGTTCCTGTGAAAGTGACAAATTATACTACATGAATATATAACACAACATCAGGGAGCAATAAGTCAGTGAAGTCAGGGAAAGCGAATAGACAGTGAAGGGGTGGTCAGTGGGGGCTGAAGGAAGTGAGGGAGCACCAAGCCGTGGGGACAGTGGGGGAACTGTGTGAAGGCAGAGGGGACAAGAACAGTGGTCATCAGTGATGGGCAGGCTGGGTGGGTTCAGGAAACAGCAAAGGGGCCAGATGAACAGAGCAAGGGAGGTGGGACAGGGAGCAGGGCTGTCCTGTTGGCCATCCAGAACATTCCCTTGCCCTGGCTCCAGTGACTGGCTCAGACCTAGGTGCTGGACCTCAGTCATGTGAATGAGCCATCATTGGATTTCCGGAATGATTGGGAAAGAGCTGCCGTCTTTCTGAAAGAGAATATAAAGGAACAGGCCTAAGAGCGAAGTCAGCACAGAAAGAAGTGGCCCAGAAGACAGAAAGGTTCTGAAAACATCATTTAGCTGCTGTGTCCAGCTGTGCCCAAAGCTAATCCACACTTAGCTTTTCGCTCTGTAAACTAATACATTTTCCTTTTTCTTAAGCCAAGGCAAACTGATTTCCTTTGACTTGCAACCTAAAGTCTTTACCAAATATAGCAATACTGAAAATTTTTTATGTGTAAAGATGTGAATTGCAGAATATTTATGATAGCAAAATACTGGGAGCAACTTCAATGTCCCAAAATGGTTGTAAAGCACACATCCCATAATAGAATAGTATGCATTCATTAAGACTGATGTTAGAGAACTGAGTAACATGAGAAAATGATTGTTTTAAAGAAAAAGCAGAAATTCTGTATGCAGCATGATCTCAATTATGTAAACACATTCTCATAAAGCAAATGCAACAAAATGCAAATTCACATAAGTAAATGCAAATGGTGGGATTTTTAAACTATATTTTTACTTTTTTTGGTTTTTAATTTTTCTCTAGCGTGCATTTCTTTTTAATAATTAGAAAAAGAAAACAATTCTTTTTAATTTTAAATGAAGATAACATGGAGGAAAAATCGGAAACAAATGACCTCTTGTACATGCAAAAGTGCTTTACATCTCAGTGTCCAAGAGCACATAGCCAGCACTCTCCCCCATGGAGAAGGACATGCGCTTTACACCACACATGCCATCTAGGTTTTCCACTACTGTGAGCATACATGACTTCTCTCTAGTGACAAGGCAAAAAGTGCTTCATTTGGGAAGTGCTGAAATTCTGAGCCCACTAGTGCACCAGTGGTAAATTATCATGTTATCTATCATGCCAGATGACCAAGAGCTAAGGACATACCCCTGCTAAAAACAGTTTATTTCTTGTACACCAAGGGTCAGGCCTCATACAGAAACCATGAGCAAACTGATGACTATGAAAATAGGAACTGTTACTTTTTATAGTCTAATGTTTTCTGCAAAAGCTTTTGAAATAAATAGTTCACTGTTTTGCAGATCACGTTACTAAAAAGAAACATTTATAGTTGTGGGCGGATGTGGAATCAGAGGAAAATTTACACTGGACACCACCACCAAGCCCAAATTATTATAATTTAGTCTTGAATCACTTTAATCAACACTTTAAAATATTTTGGTATTCTTAGCCATAATTTATTTTGTTCTCTTATAAGTGCTCTTTAGCAATTTTCTGGATCATCAAATAAGGGTTCAGTACAATTTACTTTTGGGTCAATTAGTTGGAATGACACTTTCGGAATTATCAATTACTTTATTTCTGATGAATTTTTAGGTTTTGAACAGGACTCACCAACCTCATTTCTCAGTTCAGCCGTTTTGAATTACATAAAGACAAAAACATGGCAAGGATTTTACAGCAGGAAAATGATTTGTTTTTGTTTTTCAACATTCCTATAATCCAGAGAGCTGAAGAAATCTTTGATCTAGAAAGCTTAGAAATTCAAAGCCCCCTCAACCACTGTTTTTTTTTTTTTTTTTTTTTTTTCAAATTAAGGAAGAATTAAAAACAGTATTTGTAATGGAAAATTGTGGTGCCATTAAGTACATAACGGCTTTTACTTAAGTCTGTAATTCATCTTGTGGATTTAAGATTTTGGCCAAGAGTAAGTTTTAGGTGTGATATAACATAAGTTCCTCCAAGGTTTGCTAGTGTTACTGACATTCTAGAGTGGTGGAAAAACAACTGGCATTGATGCAGAATTGGAGTGACTAGTACCAGGAATCAAGTCAGAAAAAAAGACCATCTGACAAATAGTAAGAGTTAATACAAAATTAATTTTAAAATCCCACCCTAGGCCGGGCGCTGTGGCTCATGCCTGTAGTCCCAGCACTTTGGGAGGCCGAGTCAGGCAGATCACAAGGTCAGGAGTTTGAGACCAGCCTGGCCAATATGGTGAAACCCCATCTCTACTGAAAATACAAAAATTAGCTGGGCATGGTGGTGGGCACCTGTAGTCCCAGCTACTCGAGAGGCTGAGGCAGGAGAATCACTTGAACCC